AGAGACAAAGTCGTCTCTTTTAGAGCTCAAACCTATTGGGTTCCTTAAAAACATGTGTTTAAAAGTCAGAAATTTCTTGTGGTATGTGGTGAGCATTTGTACAACTCTGGTGTGTGAAACTATCGGAATAGATGACTTTTTGAAAGTATTTTCAACCTTTTTTGCAACTATTTCTGTAACCTCTTTACTCTTAGGTTCATAGTGGTCGCCTAGGAGTTGCACCATACGAAATCTTTCAAACTGATAACTCAAAAGAACATCCTGGTAAGTATGTAACTGGGACTCAGAGAGATTGTACGGATATATGCCAAACACACTACATTTCTGTCTAAATTTAAATTTAGATACAGACATTTTGAGTTCTGTTGAGAGAATCTAAGTGATAGCACTCGGCGAAGTCAACGACGAGAGTGAAGGAACTCGATGAAAAAATATTTATGTAGAGACCAGTCCGAACGTGTCGTATGGCGACACGGCAAAATCACCGACAAGAGTGAAGGAACTCGATGAAAAAATATTTCTGTGGAGACCTATCCGAATGTGTCCTTTGGCGTAGGTGAATGAATGTGAGTGATAGCACTCGGCGAAATCAACGTCAAAAACTGTGGCCGCAAGCCGATTTTCACCTTGCGCTGTGGCGCGCCGCATTTTCGCTCGTATCTCGGGAACGGTTCGTCCTACGGCCATGATCACACCATTCGGTTGCAAATGACGTGACAAATAACTTTTGTTTTATACATTTTGCCATGAGATGCGTATTTCAGGCGCTAGGTAGACAATTTCACGATTTTAGGCAAATTTCCGAAATTTCAATCCTGGAGTTAGGGTTGAAGATGCAATTCGATCTCAAAACAAAAAGTTGCATTCGAATCAGGAAGTACTAAGGCAACTTTCCCGCACTATTAGAAATCCCGAATCGGAAAAAGTCCGGAATCGACCCACCCTAATGATGAGGAGTAGCAGTGAAGAGAAAACAGAATACCTACCTAGCAACGCTACAATCGACCCCACCACATGCGGGATGCGATTGATGCAGCACTTTGAAGAAGGAAGTGAGACGCATTTGCAGACAAAAAAAGAGTGATAGAAATGCGTGAGTGTGAACAGATTGACAAGCTGATCGACAAGGGTAATACCATGAAGAATCTCCAGTAGCAACTACCCGCCAATAACAAAAAAGTGGCGAGGTCCAATGGGTTGTAGACGGAACTATTGAAATACGGCGGCGAAGAACTTACAAGGAGCATGCATCAGCTTCATGGAAAATATGGTCGGACGAAAGCATGCCCACCTAAAGTGGGATAAGCCTCCTCAACATCGTATATGAATAAGGTTTTGTCGAGCATATTGTGTGAAAGATTAAGGGCCACCATTAGCAAATTGTTTGGACCTTATCAGTGTAGCTACAGGAATGGAAAATCAAAACAAGACCTGTGAAAAGAGTATTGACACACACCAACTCTTCGTCCATTTCAGCACGAAAGGCAGCTTTTGGCAGCACGAAAGGAGCTGCCTTTGTGCCGCGATGTATTACCACCGATCTATTCTCTTTACACATTATTCGGTCAGTGACAATATTGCCAACTGCACTGTATATTATCAATTTTTACTTGTATCCCTTATCTATAGCAAATAACCAAAATGTACCACAACATTCTTATCCACAACAAATAACCCAAATGTACCGAAATATCAAAATGTGCTTATAACAAATTGGCTTGCTATCTAATAGCCATGGACATTCCTGAAATAGAGGACTCACAACAAATCCGTAATCTTGGAGAGGAATGAACAACAGCTCCTGAAAAAGGAAGCAATACAAACTTGAGCTCCAAGAAATAAAGACATTCCTATCTGGCAAACCTAATAAACGACAACGAGAGAAGAACGAATCATACTCCTCCCATTTAAGAATTCATAGAAGTAACAACAAAACAAATATGAATGAAGCAGCATCACAAATAAAAGACACTCTCACTCAAATATTTCGTGAGCAAATCTTGTAATTAACTGACCTGCAGGATGAGCTGACAAGTGCAAAGGTAAAGCATAACAACTTCCCGAATATCGCCACCATCTCGGAACAACACGGAATAGCATGAAATTTCTCTTACAATAACAGATACAAAGGATACCCCTATCCCATATCAGATAACGACTTTGTAGTAATAGAAATCCAAAAACTTTCTGATAATCAGATAATTCAACCAAGTCAAAGTGCATACAATTCTCCTGTGTGGACTGTTCCAGAGGCCGATGAAGGATTAATACCATGTCAAAATCGTGCTTGGCGACTTTAACGACAGGGTAGCACAACAGTTGGTAAATTCAGCCTCCATGAGGAAATATCCACAAATGGGTTGAAGCTGATCGACTTCGCCTGGGCTCGGAATTCGGTTATTTGTAGTACTAGATTTCAGCATAGGGAAATTAATCAAGCTWCTTGGCTGTCCCCGGATCGAAAAGCCACCAACCAAATCGATCATGTTGTGATAGACGGAAGACACGTCTCCAGAGTTTTGGACGTGCCTACGCTGAACTTAGACCACTATCTTGTTGTACCGAAGATACGCACCGGCCCACATAGGAGCATCAAAAACCGGACAAAATTTTTAAAGTGATTTTATGAATGAAAATTAATAAAAATGCATGATTGAATATAATAATGCACTATATTAAAATAAAATAAGTAAGGAAGGGCTAATTTCGGGTGTAATCGAACATTTTATATTGAATATATTTGAGTAGGAGGTAGTGTCGGCCAGATTTTAATTTTTGTTCATACTACTAATTTGCCACATACTCAAAACAATGTTAGCTCGGTTTCATTTAGGTACCTTAGTTTTCCCGCAATTGTACCTATTTTAGGCGCAAAGAAGCACTGTTATAAATAAAAGATGTTCTGAAATTTTCATTGAAATGGCCCAAATATTGGAGGATATATCCAGCATAAAGTCTAAAATCTTTATATTAGGTATACGGGGCCTCAGGAAAGTATTGACCCAATTCAACCCATTTTTTGCAGACTGAAATACTTATGCCAGAAAAGGATTCTGTGTGAATTTCTATTTCATATCTTACACATTGAACGATATTTTCGGTCAAAAGTCAACTATTGGTATCGGTTCCACATGTTCGGTACCTAGGGGCTTGAACAGTTTTCGTTGGATTTGAACAATTATTGGTCAAAAGGTGGCTTATTTTAAGGGAATTATTACCGCAAAATTTTAAGTCGTTATATTAATTAATTCTTTATTTGTGTATTGGAAAGTGAAAGAATCAAATGTAATTTTAAATTGTGTTATATGGGAAGTAGGCGTGGAATATGAAGGGAATGTTACGTTCCAAATTTTGTCGAAATCGGTCTGTCCGGTCTCGCTCATTGTCCAATTTTCATACCGGCTCCGATAGAGCCTTCTTTTACCATCTATATACCACCCGTAAATAATAATTTAGCAGGTTTTCATTATTTAATTTAAAAAAAAAATAAATAAAGCAGCACTCATTTTATGCAACGGTGGGGAAAGACGGGAAAAATGTTTAAGCTTATATGTTAAGTAGAAACACTGTAGTTTACTAAGAAAAATAACAAAAACACTAACTTCTACAAAATTAAAAAAAAAAATTAGTTTGTTTTCCCGATAAAAACTAAATAATATATTAACTAATTTAATCTTTATATCATTAATATTAAATACATACCATGTTGTCCAGAATCCGTAAAAATTATTTTCCAGAATTCACTTCGTGAACACAAAAACCCACTTGGAATTTCGAGAACAATAGAGAGTTTCGCGAATAAGCACGTGCGTTTTGAACGAAATCGAGGTTCCGACTAATTGTGTCAGATATAGCGGGATGAAGGTCATTCATTTAATCGATTCATTGTAGAACGGTTACTTAGGTGCTAAAAGAAATCAATTTTGAGTAGCATCGCTGAAGTATATTACATATTCATATTTGTCCGGTTTTTGAAGGAAAATGCTCCTATGTGCGGCCTCTGTGCAGCAAAAAATGCACGTCAACAAACACAAGGAAGAATCGACGTCGAAAAGCTGCAATCACACAGACAGCCGAATGACTTTCTACTCGACTTGCACCTSTCTTAGTGCACTAGTCAACTACTGGGTATAAGGGAATTGTGGAATAGCGTTTCAAGTTCCTTACATACGGCTGCAAACGAAACCTTTGGTTTTCGGAAAAGCCAAAAGAACAGCAGGTAAGATGTGGAGTTCCGTAACGCAACGTTACGATCGATCACAAGCGAGATGCATTTGAAGACAAAAAAAGACAGGCCAAAATGCCTGAGTACGAAGAGCTTGACAAGCTGACCGACAAGAGTAATACCGTGAAGAACTTCGAATAGTAATCACCCGTCAAGGAAACAAAGTTACGAGGGCCGATATATTGTAGGACATGGTCGGAAAAAAGCATGCTCGACGATTGAAATTTAAGTGTGCTTTGTCAAATCAACAAAAATGGAGATCCAACAATTTGAACCAACCACCGTGGGATAAACCTCCTTAACATCGCATACAAGGTTCTATCAAGCGTATTGTGTGGAAGATTAAAGCCCACCGTCAACAAACTGATTGGATCGAAGACCAAACACTATAAGCCCCTCATTACTTCCGTCCTGGTATTTTGTTGACCTATTTTATATATTTTCGCCTAACACTTGATAATATAAAATCCCAGTCTTATATAACGTATCTAAATCTACTTATTATTTTATTATATTAAGTTTGTCGAAATGATTTTAACACTCAAAAGGAAAAGGAGATCTTAAAAAGTATATATGGGTCGAGCCACGTCAAGTCGTCCATGAAAATTCGCAAAATCACCGATTTTGAAAATTACCATATAAATATTTCGTCAAAATTATTTATTTATTTTATTTTTTTTGTTAAAGTTATTGAAGGTAGAAATTTACACCACGAGGAAGTTGAATAGTTATTTTGTCATAAGCTACTGGAGATAAATGGATTAAATTTTGTGAAGTCAATGCAAAAGGTATATAATGCTATATTATAGACATTTGTTCACGATCTATTGGTTTAAATAATAATATTTTACATAATTCTTTGTTAAAAAATTGAAATTTTTCATTTGTTCTTCACTCTAAAAAAAAAACTGAAAAGTAGGTGATACAACGCCAAGACATTCACTTTSAATAATCTTCAAATAAAATTGTGTTCATTCATACTATTCCAGAGGTATTGAATTTTTTGTCCCCCACTTCCGTTCTTAATATGGCCCCCACTTCCGCTCTTATGGCACATCAATCGTTACTGGTGCTCTGAAAAAAATTTCTGCAAAATTTTATAAAAATACGTAATGCGATATACTTCTAGTTAACATTGCTTATTTGTTTATTAATCGCTGATTGACGAGTGTTCATCCCAAGGTGGCATACTTCTATATTATCGACTCTCCGTTTTGATCAATTAAATAATTCATAAAATTGAGAAAAAACTTAAATCATTTTAGTATTTGGTTGGCAAACCTTGGTTTTTATTAACAGCCTTCACTATTTGAGGCATACTATTCAAACAAATATCACCATTATCTTTAAATCTGGATCATTTAGGCACATTTCCTTTATATTATCGTTGAGTGGGGCTGTTGTGGGATTTGTTTCGGAGATATACCTTTGATTTAAGGAACGTTCAACAGTTTTCGGTGAGGCTTAGGTCAGTTGAATTGCCCGCCTAAGGTAATGTATTGATATCCAAGTTGTGAAGGACATATGTAGGTCGTTCGTTGGAAGGTGTGGCAAGGGACCTCAGCGTGCGTATAAGTGTACTGGGCTGCTGATGGGTTCAGTGTTGCCAAATATGATACAAAATCATCTTGAAGTACATTGGTGTACTGCTCATTAGTCATCGGTCCCTCCACTAAATAAATTGGCCAGGACCTTCTACCAATATGCAGCTCTAAATTATTACATTGGGGGAATATTTTACCGTTTTTTGAATATAGTTCTCTACATAACGTTCACACGGTCTACGTCGTACAAAATGAATGGTTTCTGTCACTGTTTCTAGCCGGCATTCGTCGCTAAAGTTAATATTTGTTAAGTTGAAAATCATGTTAAATAACAGGGTAACTTTGAATGGGGGACTTTCGGGAGACGTTCATAACTTTTTATGTTTACCTTGTCTCAATCCACCTTTGTGTACTTCTGATGGATTTTGACCCTTCCTACTCGTTGACTTTTCATTCGCTTAGTCAATTTTGATTTGTTTCCTGTACCACGCTTTTTAGGTTTTTTTTCTGAAAAGATGCGCTCAACTGTTCTTTGCGATATGTTTACATGGGCATCATTTAGCTTCTTTTAACTTTCTCTAGCTGGTTTGCTGTGCGATAACGGAGTGAACCTCATTACTTTACGTCGAATGCACACAGACATTTCACCGTTTTGAGCAGTACTTTGCCGCATACTTGTGCGACCAACGGCGCAATATTTGCAAGTGTGGACAATTTTCGCTACTTGAGTTTTTTAAGTATTTTTCTGTAGGATGTACTTTTATATTTTAAAAGTGCAGCAATAGCACTTTGTTTTTTCTTTGAAATGCCCGATTTTTTATCTATTTCCTAAAATGTATACTTTTCATTGTTTGTATTATAAAGCTCCAGAAAACTTAAAAAACTACTAACCTAACAAATAAAACTCTGGAATCTATGATATAATAGTCAAACACTTATAAAAAAAAAAATTCGGTTCCTTCCATTACAATACTCAATTTATCTCTGATGAGTCAGAAATCACAAATGCTAACTTCAAGTGAAGTAAATATTTCACTATAATTTCGTATTTAAGTCCCGCTAATTGTAACGGCACATTTTTTTTTTTTTATTTGACAGGTATTAACATGTAGTCTACTTAATGCTTAGGCAGTGGAAAAAATTCAAATTTCCAGGAATGTTATCCGAAAATGTTTACATATATTTACCCTGTTTCTAATGGGTTGGCGGGGTACTGTATATATGTATATAAAGATATATGTTAGGTGGTTAAAAAAAGCTTTTCAAGTATGAGCTCTTGAATGTATATTTTAGAAAAATTTTTATCTCATATCTAATTACTTCAACACATATTGCGTAAACCTAACCGTTTAAAAGATATTAACGTATTAAATTCGATTATTTTAAAGAAAAAAATCCTTTCAATTTTATAACTTAACGAAAATWCGTTATAAATCGGAAGAATCCTAATTTTTTAGGAAATATACTACTCTACAAAAAAGGCCCCCTATTTTTTATTTTTTTGTTTTTTTTTTCGTTGATTTTTGGCGATTAACATCGTTTAAATGCTTAACTTAACAGGAGGTCAATGACCGGGTACCCGGTTATCCATTTCAATCTACATGTCAGTTTTTCTTAATTTCTCCTCAAAAAAATATTATGGCCGCCTGGGTCCCCAAAATTAAAGTTATTTGACACCAATTTTTCGTAAAAATTTTTTAGAATCAATTATTTAATAAAACTTGTAAACTATCAAACTTGATACCTCCTCCGTTCAATAGCCAGGTACCCGGGTACCCGCTGAGATTTAAATATATAAATCTGAAATGATATTCAGATAATTATATTTTTAAATTAATAATATAATACAATAGACAATATAAATAACGGGTTTACACATACTTAAGAGATTATTTATCAAAGTATTCAGATAACTATGTTTTTAAATGAATAATAGACAATATAGTTTACAATTTCTTTTATTTTAACAATAATTCTTATTATAAACAATAACCAAAATAGTTAGTAAGAACAAAATAACTCCGTTTTTATTTATTTTAGTAATATTATTTTCTATTTTTTTAATATTTGCTTATTTATATTGTTTTATTTATTATAAGAATTAAAGTATATTAAATTATTCTGTAAATCCTTCACATGTCGTTCTTGTAATAGTGTTCATTACAAATAGGTTTCTTAAATACTGAACATATTTTTCTAGTTTAACGACGTTTTCTGAATTCACTTTGAAGACATTCATAGCATACACCAGCAATCTTTTTCCTTCCAGTTGAATGGCGCTGCTTCCGAGGTCTCGATAATACAGATGATGTTGGCTGCGCATTTGGATTGACAGCTCGACCAAGAAGAGATTCAATCGCCACTTTCGTTGCGAAATGCCTCATAATATGTACATTATTCGCACGATTTTCAACGAATGGAGTACACAGCTCTCTGCCCAATTGCCGATAAAATAAGCGTCGTTCATASGATTTTTTAACAAGCATTCTATTATTCTCATAATACAGAATATATGCTGCAAGGCAGGCAATATCGAGAATATTGTAAAAATATGCTAGAGGCCATCGTTGAGTTGATCTTTTTGTAGGATATCGACCAAGCATTTTATCCGTCTACTTGATGATTTCGGGTTTTTTCTTTGCTCTATCACTAATTTTTGCTTCGTGATGCATTGTTGATAGCATAATTACTACATTGCTTGTTTTGTTTTTTTGCACATAACTACATAGGGTTACTTTTTCATGAAAGCCAAACACAGTGGATAATTCTTCTCGAGTTTTTGAAACAGCCTTTGCTGGTGGAATGTTTGCTTTATTTTTCTTCAGAGTACCAACAATGGTAAAGTTCCAAGATAGTAAAAATTTTGCTAGTGGACGAGATGTGAAGAAATTAGCCATTGTAATGTTTCTACCGGATTCTTTGTATGGTGCCACCAAGTCTTTAACAACTTAGGTACCTAAATATCCATTGATCTTGGCACTCCGCTTTCGTTATTTCTACGAGAACTATAGACTATGTATGTCCCCATATATAATTATTTCCTATTCCATGTAGCCAACTTACACAGAAAAAAATTTTTATTCAGTATACTAATGACTTCTACAGTTGCTCCACCTGGGTACCCGGTCATTGAACGAATGGTGAAAGTTTGGTCATTGG